CCCCCGCCCCGGCCCGCCGCCTGCGTGCTCGCTCCTCCCGCGTCTCCGGGGCGGGGAGCGGGCCCTCGAGCGGAAGCTCCTCGAGCGGAAGCGGAAGTGCGGAAGGCGGCGGCGCGAAGGCGGAGCGTTCATAGACGGGTCGGGCGCGTCTCTAGGTAGGGCCGGGGCCCCGCTGCCGCCGGTTTCCTGCGTTCGTCCCCGTGCGCGTCGGCCCTCCCTCCCTCGGTCCCGGGCCCCAGCCCTCCGCCAGCGCCGGCTCCCCCGGGAACCGACGGGCCGACGGGGGCGGCGGGCGGGCCGCGCCGATGTCCGTGTGTCCGACGGGCCGTTCGGCGTTCCTGGACATATGCGTGGGTTCGCGGAGGGGAGCCGACCAGAGTGAGGGGCAAGGCGGCGCGTGGGCCGCTGCGAGCGCCGGAAGGAGGCAGCGTGGCGAGCGTGGGTGCTGGTGCGCGGGAGCCGCAGGCCGGCAGCGGCTCTTGTAGCCCTTCGCGGAGCTGAGCGCCTGGAAGCGGCCGTGGGGAGGACGTGCAGAGCATGAAGTGAGGCGGTGACCTCCCTGATGACGCGAGTCCTTGGAAGCGGCCGTGGGGAGGACTTACAGAGCGTGAAGTGTGGCGGTGACCTCCCTGATGACCCGGGCCCCAGGAAGTGGCTGTGGGGAGGACTTGCAGGGCGTGAAGTGAGGCCGTGACCTCCCTGATGACCCGGGCCCCTGGAAGCGGCCGTGGGGAGGACTTGCGGGGCGTGAAGTGAGGCCGTGACCTCCCTGATGACCCGGGCCCCAGGAAGTGCCTGTTGGGAGGACTTGCGGGGCTTGAAGTGAGGCCGTGACCTCCCTGATGACCCGAGCTCCTGGAGGTGGCTGTGGGGAGGACGTGCAGGGCTTGAAGTGAGGCCGTGACCTCCCTGATGACCCGAGCCCCCAGTCGATGCACAGTGAGAAGCTCTAGCCCCGAGGTCACTGCCACTCACTTCCCAGGTGTATTGGAGGGTCTTGCCTCTACCTGTGCTCCCAGGCTCCTCCACGTCAAGGGCCATGCTTTTGTTTTTGACTCTGTCTCTGATCTTCCCTCCACAACACCCGTCTGTGGACCTCACTGTAAGGAGCCACCCTCTCTGCCGCCGCCGCAGCCTTCTTACAGTCCCTGTATATTGATTTCCTCATCCCATTTCTGCCATCTCCAAGCTTCACCATTAGTGGGTTTTTCCTGACTTTGCCATTCCTTCTGGTTGGAACTCTAACTGCTTTTCTACCAGTTGTGTTCTTGAGAGGCACTGACAACACTGTAGCTGTGTCAGGCCCCTCACCACACATCTTTTTACATACACCATTTCTTGACCACCTTACTTCCCAGTTTTTTTGTTTAATTTCTAACTACCTGATCTGCCAAATATATTGCAGTCATTGATCACGTCTGGCATGCTGAGAAGACTGGCACGCTGTACATGACATCTGAAGTCACTTGCTGTTCTTAGCATTCTGAGGTTCTACTTCATCCGTGTACCTGACTCTGGGTCTCATTTGTGGTGCAGATTTACCGTAAAGCTAAGGAAGTTCAGGCTTCCAGGTCCCTCACTTGAATGGGCCCCTACCAAGGCACTGGGACCTCGGCAGCCTTGTGTTTATAATTTGGGTTCTTTTTTAAAAAGAGGGACCTTAAATTGTATGTTTCTGGCCCTTCACAACTTGAATCCTTACAAAACTCGCCTTTTGTGATATCCTGCTTCCCTGAGATTTGTTTTCTTGTCCTTCAGACTCCCCCCCACCCCCACCCCTTACCTCCTGTTCTTTCACCTTCTAATGTGTGCTTGTTATTGAGGCTTGTAGAGAAAATGTGCATGAATGGAACTAATAAATTCCCGCTGCAACCTGGCTTTATCTTGCTCTTGTGTCAAGAGGGAGATGCACCTTCTAATGTGTGCTTGTTATTGAGGCTTGTAGAGAAAATGTGCATGAATGGAACTAATCAAATTCCCGCTGCAACCTGGCTTTATCTTGCTCTTGTGTCAAGAGGGAGATGTTAGAGCTTGGTAACTCAGCACATTGGGCAGAATCTTTGTAATTTCTTGTTGCAAGCTTAAGTGCATGTATTATTAGATTTATTTTGCTGTGGAGTATACCACCCTCTTTCAGAAAAGGTTGATGGTAGGAACGATGGTCCACTTAATTGAGATCATAAAAGCGACATTTAGCTCCATGGAAACTAAAGTTATATACACTATGGAAAAATTCATTTAGAGGAATTTATTGCAACCTTTCTTGTATTACTTTGAAAATGAGGCAACACTAATGCTGTCAGTTATTTTCATAGAGCTTTAGAACAAGTATAAACAACTATTTTCATTTACTTGTTAGACATCTGTTTCTTTGTACGGTGTTCTGTTGGAAAAATCTTCAGAGGTTTAAAATGTTATTTAAAGTTTAACTTATTATATAAATATAAGGTATTTCTAAAGGATTTTTTAGTAGTAGTTTAAAATCCCCCAAATTTTAGAGGTAAATTATTATCTTATTTTTACAAATAAGGAAATCAGTGATGTACAAAGAGGTTAAATGATTTGTCTTCAGCCATACAGTAAATCAGGGCCTTTGCCTAGCCAAAAAAGCCAGTTCCTGAGCACTGTTTTTCTTATAAACAAATATTACTCAATAAAGAGGAGTTTCTTTGTTGGCCTTTATAGAACATTTAATACAAAATGGACCAAATTGTATCCTTCAACATATCTATATATCCATATCTATCTATCAGCACACATCATATATGCACACTAGGTTCTGTAAAAGTAGGCAGTATTAATACTGTTCCTATTAGGACTTAAGCTGAAACAATTAACTCTATATAATAAAGTCATTGACAGTAAAACCATGGCCAACAAGGACATGGTGTCACTTCTGAAGAGGAGATTTTTCTGGATAGTTCTGGCTTTTGCCAATTAAGCACCAAACTATTCCATTTAGGATGGGAATCTTTCTAAAATATATTATTTCTCAGTGTTCTTAAATAGAATGTGCTGAATGTTACGTGAACTTAAGGATCTCGAGTGAACACTTGAAACATAATTTGTTGTGATGTAGACGGTGATGTTCTTAGGCTTGTTGAGGTATATACAGCTTTTTTTCTATTAATTCCTTTGGAGTTTTTATGTCTGTACACTTTTTTGGGTTTTTCTGTCCTTTTGTTTACCCCATGTCAGGTGTCAGCACCTCTTACTACTGTCAGTACCCCTGTCTAAAGTTTCTCTTTCCATATTTTACTGTGGGTTTAGGAGCTAATTATTAGAACTGATTAGAAAAACAGTCCATAAATGATAATAAGAGCCTGAGGAAGTTTGCTTAAAAAGTTTCATAGAAAGTAATCTAGCTTACAAAAATGGTAAATTTAGTAAAACCTCTCTAGAATTTATATGGCTTTGTTTTAAAGTTGGAGATAGTTTAAGAATTTTGGCTGGTGCTGGGCTGATTTTACTAAACTTTAGGCAACTGATAGATGTTTAATGAACAAATTTATAATATAAGTATAAATAAAATTGTGCCACAACAATTGCTGAGGTGGTTCTGATAAACCTTATTTTGCAGATACAGAAAGTGAAGCTTATGGAATGCAGTAAATTGCTCAAGATTTCACTGTTACTATGTGGCAATTCCGTTTTGTTCTCGGGCCTTTCCTTTCACTGCCTTTTGTTCTCTTGTCTCTGTGACATAGCTAAAAGGGAGTGTCTTGACATCAGCTGGCACTAGTGGTCATGGCCAGTCTGGCATGTGTTCTGGGGGGTCTTCCAGGGCACCCTGAGTCTACACATCTGTACCTAGACATATCAAAGTATATTATAATCCCTATAGGCTTTCTGTTTCTCATTCGAATAAGCTTCTTTGAGATGCCATTGTTGAAGAAAATTCTGATACTTGTTAAAATGGTTAAGGAAGACTTTATTTAAGGCTATAAATAGAGGAGAGAGATTGGGCTCAGCTCTGTATACAGCAGGGACAGTTGGGGATTTATACCCAATGAGCAGAGCAAGGCAGTGAGAGGATGGGAAACTACAGAGAGTTACATAAATGGAAGGGGGGATTCTTGCTGAAGGCAGACAGGGACATCAGACATCAAGGGTGGGGGGCTCTCTCTAAACTATCTAAGCGAGATTCTTGCTGAAAGCCCAAGATTGAGGCCTGGTCAAGAAGAGGGCTCAGAGGGCCTAACTAAAATGTGAGCAAGGAGAGAGCCTTTGTCAGTAACAGGAGATTCCTGGAAAGCTCAGCAGTTGAATGAGCCCTTTACAGAGTTCCTCTGAAGCATCAAGACCAGCTTAAGTGGACCCACCCTTAGTTTATTCATTCACCTGGTTGTGCATAAATATTCAATAAACATTGAGCAGATACTATCGCGTGTGCTGGCATGGAATAAGTAGTAATCTTTTAGGATTTTCAGTCCCTGTTTTCACCCTACTGGTATTTAAGGGATCCCTGTAAGTTTCACTTTTTAGGTGGAGCTAGTAGGGAGGAGAGGAGAGAAGCAGAGCAGACCTCAGATAGTCCGCATCACTCCATGGGGAATGTCCCTGGGAGGGCCCAGGCCCAACCAGCAGTTAACTGACAGAAATTATTTCATCCTTGAAAATAAAGCAAGAAAAAAAGAATATTTTTATACTGTCATAGTGGGCTGTTGTTTAACAGATTCACCCAAGATTAACTACTAGGTTTGACTTTGCTCTTTACTCCTGATTAGGGCCCAAACACTGTGATATGATATGCTGATTTGTTGGTTATATGTCTGTAGTAATGCTAATTATTTCTGTCTGGTAAAGATAACTCCAAAGGTTAACTCTAAAGGTTATAGCTTTATTGTCTCCAACTTAAAGAGCTTATGTGCCTTTCCTGTTGGGCTTTGTGAACTCCAGCTCCTCCAGTGCTCTGAATCAGCTTCCCTGTATCCCAAGCTCCCTCGCTAATTATTGTTTGCACGAGTTATGTCTTTTAGCTTTTGAAAATTATGCTTCGACACAGTTGAGATGCTGGGTGTGTTTGAAGGCTGCCACAGCTTCTAAGTACTGGTTGTCCTTCTGCAGAGGCTGCTCACTATGTGGGAAGTACCCAGTGGGCTGTCCACAGTTCCCTTGCCCCTGTGTCCAGGGGCATCTGTCAGTGTCAGGTAGGGTTGATATGTTTATGCTGAGGCATGCCACTCTGCTAATTTCTACAAGTGTTTGTAAGTTGAAGGGTTGTGAGGTAGGAGCTTCTGGACTTCTCTTTCCTCTTTCTGCATTGAGACTGGGCCAGCTATGAGGGGAGAATGGAGCCAGTCCTGGGAGCTGTGCTTATGCTCCGGCAGCTCCTTACCAGATTTTCTTCATTGATGCTTTGCTTCCCACACCTTGGGGAGCTGCTGGAGGGCAGTGATTCTACTTTGTACCTTCTTTGGCCACATTTGGAGCCTATAAACTTGTCAATTTCTCATTTCTCTTTATGTATCTGCCCTTGGATTCATTCATTTATTCATTCAAATATTTATTGGGCCCCTCACAGGCCAGACATTGTGCTGGGTGTCGGAATATGTCAAAGCCCACCGTAATGGTAGTGATTTCCTGAGGGTCCCAAGCTATATTTTGGGCAATAAGATGCCTACCTAATGAGACATAACTTCTGTTTCCTTTCTAAACAACAATTATCAAGGTAATGAAAATTTCCTGTATAATTTGTAGATAGGATTCATTTTATCTGTTCTTTTTTTCAGTCATCTTATCTATAATAACTACCTGTAGAGAGTGAAAAATCTCTGTATACGCTATTGGCAATAAAAGGCTAAAGCAGAAAAAAATTATTTAAAGTAATATCCACAGTTTTCTATATCTTTTTAGACATTTTATTTCACACCACACCAGTTGCACCGATTGGGTGTTGTGCCCATTTATTGCTTTGAAGATGCTGAAATACCTGAAGGCATCCTGTAATGTCACAAGTTCCCAGATCCTTTCCTACCCCAGTTTGTCTTGGTAAATGCCATAGAAGAGCACCCTACGTAATATAACACTCTGAGTTAGTTTGTGATTCAAAATGGGAAAGACAGGAAGAACTACTACCTGCTCAATTAAAATAGTGAGCTTTTCACTACTGAGGTGAGAAATGAGGAAAGCATTTGGATAAAATCAAAGCAGAACACTGAGCCTGACTTCTTGAAAAATAAAGAGGAGAATGTTTTGGGAAATTCAGTGTTGCCACTTGCAGTTTTAGTAGGAAATGCTTGAAAGAAAAATCCCGTTTTGTTGGCAAGAGAAGGCAGCCACATGTGGCAGAGCTGCTGCGCAGGTGTCTGGAGGGGAGAGGAGGGCTTGTTTTGCTCCCTCTCGCGGCTTCTCCCCGCCAAGTCGTGTTGGCTTTTTGTGCATTTTGAGCAGTCCAGCCAGTAACTTTGGGAGCTGCCTGAGCCTGGGAGGCCTGCTGGCTGCTGGCTTCCGACCATGGTGGGCTGCAGGGAGGGCACCTCCAGTGGCTGGCTGTGGGCTCTGTTGGAGCTTGGTGAGAGAAGTGGAGTCTTCTCTCACAACACAGAGACTAAGTCAGACTCCAGATTTGTAAGATTCACCTTTGGCCCGCTCATCATCAGTAAACCTTGCAAGGCCTACAAATTCAAAGCTGAGCATACTAGACTTTGTCCATTCTGACCACCCTTACTTGTGTTCTTGTGTTCCCTGCCTACAATGTTGGAATAATAAGGAGAAAAACACCCTTTGCAGAAATCAGAGTTTAACCTTCCTGGAAATAGGATCCATGCCCAGGAGTCCAAACTGTAGAGCCACTTTATAGTTGAGACCATCATGTTCTGAAGCCCAGTTTCTACTTGAAAAATTCAAATACCTTGGCTTTGTTTCCACAATAAACTCTATACCAGTAATAACGTTATGGTGATTTGGAATACATGTATTCGTGTGTTTCATTATGTTTAAAGCCACATTTCAACATAAAATTTTTGTATATTTTCAGTATTAATGGTTATTTTTCTTTTTTTTTGTTTGTTTTGCTTTTTGTTTTTTGATGTCTGGCTGGTAAGGGGATCTGAACCCTTGACCTTGGTGTTATAACACTGTGCTCTAACCAGCTGAGCTAACTGGCTGGCTCTATGAATGGTTATTAAACAGAAAACTTCAAATTCTACTATTAGGAACGAGTGATCATTAACAATCAGTACATTCTTGAAAGAAAGTCCTGTGAGGGTGCCTTTCTCAACCTAATAATTTATTTATAGTTTCTTCACTTGTAAAATAGAGCTTATAATCTTTACCTGTCAGAGTGGCTTTAAAATTAAAGATTTTGTCTAGTAGTTGACAAGTACGCTATATTATGAGAGTTGTTACCGGTGTTGTGCTTAGTCAACATATGACTGCTGTCCTCAGTCCTAAGTCTAGGGTAGAGGCATTGTTTGTTTTGTATTGCTGTTTGCGTGTAAAGGATTTTTTGTTGTGTTTTATCAAAAGATATGAAGCCCTGATGATACAAAGAAAACTATAGTGAAAAAAATAGACCTTTAGGATAAAAGATGTCATCATGGAATTTTTTCTGACCTTTGATGGACATTATTGCCTTACGTGAAGAACGTCTTGCATTATGTCTTATACTATGTTTGAGGACATCTTAATATAGGTAGGACTCTGCTTAAATTTTTTTCTGGTGTTGAATTCTAACTCTTAAACTACTTTGGATCTGTTTTTAAATTTTAGAATGGGCAGTTTTCCATTCCAAGTCAGTCAGCCACTATCTCAAATCTTACAACATTTGGTTTAGTAAGTTTTTATGTAGTTTTCTTTTTAATACTTTTATTGAGTTTTACTTGACACATAGTTACAGTGTACTGTTTGATGTTTTATCATATGTATACACCTGTGAAATCATCACCATATAGTAGTGCACATATCTGTCACCCCCAAAAGTGTCTCCTTTGGAATCTCTCCCTCCCATCTGCCCCATCCCAGGCACGCACAGATGTGTTTCTGTCACTACAGGTTAGGCTTAACTCTCAGTGAATTAGAATTTTATATAAATCTAATCATACAGTACATATTCTTTTTGTGTCTGGCTTCTTTTACACAGGAAAATTATTTAAAGAATTGTTCATGTTGTGTGTTTTAATTTATGTTTTAGGTTTTTAAAAATAATTTCTATTTGAGTCCCTAGATGGGAACTATTACTTCTTTGAGAACTGTTAACCTCTTCTTGAATTTGGCTAAGAAATACTTTGAATAATAGTGAACCTTAAAAGATTGCCACTATGTCGTCCTTGTGAAAGTCCAGTTCAAGTAATTAACTTATACTCAGGAAAAGTTTCTCAAGCATTTTAATCAAAGACCCGTTAGGCCCTAACCAGCTTATCATATTACCTTGGTGACAAGATTTTTTGGAAATGGAGAACAAATAACAAATGTTGTCTTGTGTTTGCTTTGAAAGGTGCCATATATCCAGTGATAATGCTGTAATTACTAATTGCTAACTTTTTTTTCTTTCCAGATCCTTCCCCAGAGTTCAGTTATGGGTGTGAGAGGTTTGCAGGGATTTGTGGGAAGTACCTGTCCACACATCTGTACAGTAGTAAATTTCAAAGACCTGGCTGAGCACCACCGCAGCAGGCATCCAGGGTGCACTCCTTCAGTTGTGGTCGATGCCATGTGTTGTCTCAGGTACTGGTATACTCCAGAATCTTGGATCTGCGGTGGCCAGTGGCGAGAGTACTTTTCGGCTTTGCAAGATTTCGTTAGAGCTTTTACGGCTGTTGGCATCAAGTTGATCTTCTTCTTTGATGGCATGGTGGAACAGGGTAAGAGAGATGAGTGGGTGAAACGAAGACTCAAGAACAACAGGGAGATATCCAGGATTTTTCAGTATATCAAGTCACACAAGGAGCAGCCAGGCAGGAACATGTTCTTCATCCCCTCAGGGCTGGCTGTGTTTACGCGGTTTGCTCTCAAGACTCTGGGTCAGGAAACTGTGTGCTCCTTACAGGAGGCAGACTATGAGGTGGCCTCCTATGGTATGCAGCATAACTGTCTTGGGATTCTTGGGGAAGACACTGATTACTTAATTTATGATACTTGTCCCTACTTTTCAATTAGGGAGCTCTGCTTACAGACTTTAGACACTGTCATGCTCTGTAGAGAGAAGCTCTGTGAGAGTCTGGGCCTCGGCTTGGCAGACCTTCCTCTTCTGGCCTGCCTTCTTGGCAACGACATAATCCCGGAGGGCATGTTTGAAAGCTTTCGGTACAAATGCTTGTGCTCCTACACCTCTGTAAAAGAGAACTTTGACAAAAAAGGCAACATTGTCTTAGCTGTTTCAGACCACATAGCTAAAGTTCTTCGCTTGCATCAAGGTGAGAAAAAACTAGAGGAGATATTGCCTTTGGGACCAAACAAAGCTCTTTTTTATAAAGGAGTGGCATCATATCTTTTGCCAGGACAGAAATCCCCGTGGTTTTTCCAAAAACCCAAAGATACAATAACTTTGGACAGGCAAGTAATATCCATGAGTTCAGACCCTGAGTCCAAGCAAGAAGTTCCCATGTGTACAGACTCTGAATCCAAGCAAGAAGTTCCCATGCATATGAACCCTGAATCCAAGCAAGAAATTCCTACGTGTACAGACCCTGAATCCAAGCAAGAAGTTCCCATGTGTACACACCCTGAAATGAAGCAAAAATTGCCTATGGGAACAGACCCTGAATTTAAGCTAGAAGCATCCATATGTACAAACCCTGAAATTCAACCAGAAGACCCCATGAATATGGGGCCTGAAACAAAGCAACTAGTAACCATGGTTTCAGACCCTGAAATCTTAAAGGTATGTGGATGTTCCTATCTAAATCTAAAATGTCATGATTGAAAATATATCCATTGATTGATTTGTTGGTGAATATTTACTGACTGCCTGCAATAGTTAAGGCACTTTGTGGGGAGGGAGGGGACACAGAATAGGAACCTGTGAGTCTAGTTAGGAAGTGTGACATCATGTATGTGAACACTCACATTGTAACCTACATTTGATAATGTCCCATAAATATGACATAAGAGCTGTAGAAATTTGAGAGGGAGAGAACATGTAGGTTAAAGTACAGGGAGATAAATCTGTAAAAATATCAACTTTTGAAGTAAAAGGGATTAGAAGTGGAAGGAGGAGTGGACAAAGCATTGGAAGCGATTTTGCCCTTCAAGGGTTGTGAAGTACATGACGGGAGCACCTCTGATGGGCTCTGTATCAAAAGGCCCACAGAAGAACAGGCCCCTTCTGTTGATCTTCAGCTGGTCAGAGCATCGTTAGTACTCTGTGGCTCTATGATACAACTTAGATAATTCTGTAAAAATCTTTTTTTTTTTTTTTTTAACTTTACTGACCTTAAATATGCTGGCAGGTCTGCCTTGGTTTGAAGAAATTGTAACAGTGAAGTAGACATTTTGTCATGTGTCTGGGTTCCAAGGAGAGCAATGCACTTGGATAGTCTCATAGTAATTGTTAGTACTTATTGACAGTGAACTGTGTGCCAGGCCTCTAGGGGTAAGTGCTTTTCGTGTATTAATTCACTTAATCCTTGGAACAGTCCAGTGAGGTTGGCACTTTTATTAAGCCCATTTTATATATTAAAGTGAGGAACAGAGAGATTAAGGGTCAGATTGACAATAATGAATCAATATAACTAGGACTACTTGTGTATGTATAAATGAGACACTCTGCTCTACAGAGTTTTTGATATTCCAGGTTATCCTGATGTCGTATTTTAAATGCCTGTACTAGCAGACTGTTTGGATTTAAGTTTTGGATAGTAATCTAGATGAGTTTATTTCCACATTAATGAGAATGTTGTTCATAGGAAAATAAAACCTGTGTATTATAGACCTTATGATCTTAACTACTGATTTAATGAGAAAGTAAAATTTATTTAAATCATATATCTCATCACCTATGATGTGCCAGTACTGTCTTGGCATTGCAGAGGAGAAACAGATGTCCTTGGCACATAGTTTTTACTCAATAAACAGCTATTGAACAAGTGAATGAATGAAAGCAACACAGTTTCTAATCCCAAGCAGTTTATAGTTTAATAGGAGAGGTCAGACAAAATAGAGAAATGAATCGAGCCCCATACGGCAGTGGGGAGGTCAGTTTAGGTTGGGGGAGGAGAAAAGGGTTTATGGAGAAGGTGATGCTTTAGGTGAACAGTAACAGGAAAAGGCTTGTGAAATGGGATGTCAGGAAGGAGTGAGGGAAAGATATTGTAGGTGGGTAAGTTTTCGTGGCGCACAAGGCAGGGTAGGAGAGGATTGTGTATTCCTGAGGAACGGCGAAGATGTTTCATTGAGCCTGGATTATGGCAGTTTCTGTGAGGGTGAAATGGTGTATAAGGCTGGAAAAAGGAGATGGAGGCCTTAAAGTGGGACCTTGAATGTTATGGTGAAACATTTCTGGCAGCCGTTCACATGCGCTGAGGAAGGCAGTGACTGCACCTGTTTCCAAGAAGACAACAGGGTGGTATGAAAGATGGGCTGGAAAGGGAGAAACTGGGCTGGGGGTCAGTTAGGGGCCTTGCATAGCAGTGCTGATTACTGGGACACTGTCAGGAAGACAGAAGTGAATACTGCGGAGGTGACAGGTGCGACTGGGATACCAGGGGAGAAGGAAGAGTGACTCAGAGTTTTGAACGTGTTAGCCCAAAGGAAGGAAAACACAAATGCCGGCTTGATGTTCTGAGTTTTAGTGGCAGTTATTCCATTTCTAGTGCCTTAAAAAAACTGGCATGTGATAAAAGTTGTTGGCTTTTTCTGTTTTGTTTTCAAGGAGAAATCAATTGCATTTAAATTTTGGACAGGTTGCGAGGACACATCACGTCCAGGCCGAGAGCTACCTCGTGTACAACGTCATGAGCAGTGGCGAGGTCGACTGTAGCAACACCCTGGAGGATGAGCTGGACCAGGCCCTCCCCAGCCAGGCCTTCATCTACCGTCCCGTCCGGCAGCGTGTTTACTTTCTCTTGTTGGGAGACTGTAAAGGTGAGAACTGGCTGGACTGCCTTAGTAATGGTCCTATTTGAAGTTGAATTCAAAGAAGTTAGCCAGATGAAGTAGAATGCGTTCTTTCAGGACATGGAGGCAATTAGCTAGGGTTTGTTTCTCTGTAAAATCTATAATCGAGAACCACTCGCATCTGTAAAAAATTAAGGATAAATGCCATGGGACATATATATCTCATAAGCAAGCAGTTGATCAGTATTCACTAAAAGAAGAATGCATTGTTTTTAAAACATGTCATATTTTTATGCCTTTAAAGGATTCATGCTTTTTTAAAAATGTGTAAACTCTTTTAGTAGTGTAGGGCATGTTTATTATGAGAAAAAGACAATGTCTACCTGGTCGCCCCTCAAAATGTGATTTTCGTAAAATGATTTCACAGAATCTGGTATATTATATTTTAAAATATAAACAACATTCTCCTTTAGGATTTTTGTAATTAAGTTAGTTTTTTTCCCATCTGTATTTCCCTTGCATACTTAGCAACAAGAGTAGGGGGAGGACCGTCAATGGCCAGAGCAGTGAAAGTGAAAGGACTTTTAACACCAGATATAAAGTTGATCAGGACCCTATAACTCACTATTAGAAAAGTTTGGGGGGGACTCAGGAGTGCAGAAGAGCACTTCATATTATGAACCAGTTATGCTTAATGTATTTAGTTATCTCTTAAGTAAGACCTTGCTCATCTCAGACAGAGACCTAGACAGGTATTTTATGTTTTTATTTGAGAGTGCTTTGGTAAGACACATGGCTTAGCACACTATTATCAGGATAAGAGATGGAAGCAGTAGGATCCCCATGAAAGGATGCCTGTGATACATTTGCCTAAACAGCATTGTTTCCAAACATGGCGATGTTATTATTAATATTATTCTTTTACTACAGAAAATAAACATTTATATAACCTAAGGATGGTGATAGAATCATCAGATTAAAAAGTCCTCATTATTCTTTTTTGGGTGGTGGGGATAGGGGGGTTCTTTGAATCCAGTTTCCATTAGATTCCTGGCACCACCCAGCATGTACTGCATTCTCCCATGTATGCTGCAAGAGCTCAAACACTCATGACCTAAGGAGGAGGACACGAGGAGGGTGTTTAAGCTGACTTAAAAACAAAAATGAAACAACTTATGTAATAAACTTTGGGACCAAATATCGTTTAAATAATTGTTTTCTATTCCTTTTTCTTATGTGGCCCTCTGCCCATATTCTTTTTTTAAACATGAATGATTGCACGTTGACTCTAATTATTTTAAAAAAATACCTTCCTCATAAAAAATTTTTTACGTTTTAGAATAATACTTGGAATTGTTTTCATTAAATGAGATTAAACTATATAAACTTCACTAACTTAAATTTCATACTTTGTTAATGTGATTTATTTACAGTCATATGGATAACTTTATTAGATAATCACATAAACAGGAAGAACTACTCAAATTGAACTTCTCTACATAGTTGATCTTTAATTCCTTTTCTTTTCCCTCAACTTTTTGGCTTTCTACGTGAAATTTACAATTTTAGGATATGAAAATAAAATGTTGCTATTGCTGGTTTATTTATAATAATAACAATAAAGTATATTATGTGTTATTTGCTTGGCTTTATTTGTCCACATGTACTTGAAAGTGATGTATATTCTACAGTTGTTGAGCATAGTGTTCTGTGAATATTGATAGTGTTGATAGGGTTGTTCAAGTCTTTTACTGATGTTCTGTTTACTCATTCCTAGTTCCTGAGAGAATTGTTAAAATCTTCAGATAGCATTGTGAATTTGTCTGTTTATTCCTTCAGTTTTATCAAGTCTTTTACTGATGTTCTGTTTACTCATTCCTAGTTCCTGAGAGAATTGTTAAAATCTCCAGATAGCATTGTGAATTTGTCTGTTTATTCCTTCAGTTTTGTCAGTTTTTGCTTCAGGTATTTTGAAGCTCTGTTTTAGGTGCATATACACTGAAAATTGTTATATTTCTTAATGAAATGACCATTTTAATATTGTGAGATTTCCCCCTTTCTTAAAAATCTAGTAGGATTCCTTGACCTGAAATTAGCTTTTTCTGATATGAATATATGTACTCCAGTTTTCTCACTGTTAATGTTTGCATGGTATATCTTTTTTTCTATCCTTTTACTTTTAAACTATTTCTTTATATTTAAAGTGCATCTCTTTTAAATAGAATATCCAGTCTAACAATCTCTATCTTTTTTAGAGTGTTTAGACCATTCACATTTAATGTAATTATTGACGTGGTTAGGCTTAAGTGTTCCATTTGCCCTTTGCTCTGTACTTTTTCCTCCTTTTTTGACTTCTTTTGGATGATTAATTGAATATTTTGTTATACGTCCTCATCTGGATTATTAGATTTACCCTTTTTTGTGTGGTTTCTCTGAGGTTTACAATATATGTGTTTGACATTACAATTTACCGTCAAGTAACGTTATACCACATTATGTCTAATGTAAACCTCTTATAGTCTGGATTATTAGATTTACCCTTTTTTGTGTGGTTTCTCTGAGGTTTACAATATATGTGTTTAACATTACAATTTACCGTCAAGTAACGTTATACCACATTATGTCTAATGTAAACCTCTTATATCAGGGTACTTTTATTGTCCCCAACATTTTTGGTATTGTTGTTTTATGTCTTCTGTATATTTTTAAAAACTTTTTAATTGGAAATAATTACTGACTCAAAGGGAGTTGCAAAAATAGTGCATAGATTTTCAAAAATAGTGCCTAGCTTCCCCCAAAGATGACAAGACAAAGTACAATATCAAAACCATGAGATTGGTATTGGTACAAAAATGTTAACTATACTACAGACCTTATTCATTTTTTACCATTTCTTACATGCATATGGGGGGGGCGGTTCTATGCAGTTTTATCCCATGTGAAGTTTCCTGTACACACCACCCCTGTCAAGATGCAGAGCTGGCACATCACCCCAGAGGAGCGCCCTGTACTGCCTGCACTGTCCTTGTACATGCACAACTTTCCCACCCTGTTCCCAGGCATTCACTAATCTTTTCTCCATCTCTGTTTCCATTCCTTTTGAGATTGTTATATAAGTGGAAGCATATAGAATGTAACCTGTGGAGATTATGCAGATGTTTAAAACCCCATAACACATGGTTATTACTTTTAGTTGAAACCAGGGGTTTGCAGACTTTTTCTGTGAAGGGTCAGATGAGAATGGATGCCGTAGGTGTTGGGCCCAGGCTCTGTCACAGCTACTCTGGGGTTGTCCTGACAAAGCAGCCATGGACACTAGTACCTAAAAGACACGTGTGGCCGTGTGCCAGTAAGCCTCTATGTAAGTTTCCCAGGTGACAGAATTTGAATTTTATATAATTTTCCTGAGTCACAAATTATTATTCTTTTCATTTTTTCCCAACCATGTAAGAATGTGAGAGGCATTATTAGCTTTCAGGCTGTATATAAACAAGCAGGGCAGACTTGGCCTGCAGGCTGTAGTTTGCCAACCCCTACTTTAAACAGTCAATTCTTTTAAAGAAACTAATAAATGAGAAAATTCTTTTCTGTGTACCGTTTCCAGTGCTCTTCATCACCTTGTGCAGATCCAGGTTTCCATCTAGTGTCATCTCCATCAGAAGAGCTCACTTGGATGTTTCTTGCACACACTCTTCAGTCTTCTGAGTGTCTCCCCTGAATATGTCGTGTTCCATCTTTGCTTCTGAGGTGCAGTTTTGTTGAGTTTGGAATTCGAGGTAGTTTTGTTCTGCACTGTAAGGTGTTGCGTTTTCCTCCGGCTTGCTTCTCTTTTCATGAGGTGACAGTGGCCATCTTATTGTGTTTCCTCACATTGTCAACGTTTTTCTCTTGGTCACTGGTTCTCACTATTTGATTAAGATTAGCTTTGGAGTGGTTTACTTTGTGTTCTCCCATGTGGGGTTCTTGAGGTTCTTGGATCTGTGGCTATATATTTCCTGTCAAATTTGAAAAAAAAAATTGAGCATTATTTCATCGAATATATTTTTCTTTCTTAATCTCTTCCACTTCTTCCTCTGGGTCATTTATTGACTTCTCCTCATAAGGGGACCACATATTTTTGCTTGTTCTCATATCTAGTATTTTTTTATTGTGTGCTGTAACATTTCAGATGCTGTGAAGATTGTTGAGTTTTGTTCTGTCAGGCAGTTGATTTACCTGATCCTTTCAAGCCTTGCCTTTATACTTTATTAGGTGAGTCTGCTGTAACTTTTACTTTAGAGCTAGTGTGACCCTACTCCTGAGACAGGACTTTGCTGGGTCATCCCCTCAGTGCCTGGGTGTTTGCTGAGGTCTGTTCATACTGGCTGGTGGGAAGTCCCGTCTTCAAGCCCTGCACCAGCTCTAGTTGGTCAGCTCCCCAGTAGCTGTTCTTGCCTGGCCTGTCTGAGTCTTGCCCTGTGCACACACAGCTTCATCTTTAACCAGAGTCCCAGGGCGCCTGCTATCTGCACAGCACCCGGCAGACCCAGTCATGACAGCTTACCTCCAGTCTCTGCCTCCTCGTCACAGGGACTGTCTCCTTCTCTAGGCTGCAGTCTGGACAATGCCTCTGGACAGAATTTTGGGGTGATGGTGGGTTTAGCATTGTTTCCCTTCTCTCTGGGATCACAGTCTGACACTGCCCATTGCCGAGCACATGAGTGCAGTTTGTTGATGACAGGAAACCGTCCAGCAGCCCTCCCCCATCACGAGCATCACCCTCTGTCCTCCAGCATCATAACTGCTGATGAAGCCAAGTGCTCATGTGACTCATATTCCTTTTTTGGTGACTTTTTTGCTTTGGAATGTTTTGAGATATTCTCTTTATCCTTTATGTTTAGCAAATATCCTTTCCTCTATGACCTCTGTTTTCTGTTAGTAGAACTGCTGTGAGATGGATGTAGGACTCCCTGGGTCTCTGCTCTGTGTTTCTTCATCTTATAATCTCTGTCTCTTTGTTCTGCATAAGGGAGCATCTCACCTCTTCA